ACTGGATAGAGTGTCTGCACTTAAGTTTTACCAAAATTCATAAATGTATTTAAGTCAAGACCTAAAGACGAAGCGCATTAACATACTTTGATCAAAACATATTTATGGTAACTTTGGGTTATTTCCTAAAAAAGTTTACCTCCTTGTTAAGACTTCTGCAGTCTCTAACAGTTTTTTTTTTTTTGTTTTTTGACTGTTCTATATTTAGTTCTATCCATTATCCTAGAAATTGCTGCCAACCTCCCCACAGCTGCAGTAATTAGGCCTCCCTGTAAGATGTTGCGGACACTGTCTAACATAATATTTTTAGCATTAATATCTTTCAAACACACTTATCACAATCTACATGTAGGCCAAAAAAATGCAGATTCTGTATCTTCTTACATAAGCACTTTGGAAAAAGCAAGCATGGGAAAGATTGTGTTATTCTCCTTGTTCACCAATGATACCTAACAATCAATGAGCAGCTGGATTGTACTAAAAGTGAATTACAGACTGATAAACTCAGATCTAGGTCTCAGATCAGATCTGACCTCAAAAAAGTTTTTAAACAAAAATAAATATGTGTAAACTTTTTGGCAAGCACAAAGCTGAACTACAAGCCAGGAAAAATTAGATTTGAATGTGCGAGATGAGCAGAACAGCAGGCATAGACTCTTGTGTGACAGCCTACTTGAATATCCTATGTTTATGGCAAAGCAAAATATTGGAATAATGGGAAAAAGATTTGCAAATGTAATTCCTAACCAAAGCAAAATAGTTTATCAGACCGAAAACTGATTGCATGTATCTATATTTAGCATGTTTGCACTGAAACACTTCTACATTCGTTTTAGTCACAAAGGAGGCATGACTACAGAGACAGATTATTGAGAGAGAGTTTGCGCACTTGGGAATATATTTGAACCGTCAGAAAAAAAATCACAATTATAGAATTTTATTAGTAGAGATAATTCACAGAAGAAGGCACAAAATTTTAATACTAATAAACTAAAACAAAAAAAGCACCATGTCTAACCTCAAATATTGATGCATCTTTATAAAGGAAAAAAACAAAACAAGATATGCACAAGAGAAGAACCATTGTGGCAACTTAAAAAGGGACGTAAGAGGTATGGAAACAAAAGAATATTTTCTACTCCCACATGAGATTGAGCATTTCCTATTAGTGGTTAGGATTTATTTTTTTTTCTCCCTCAATGTACCTTCAAGGGCTCAATTCAGAGCTTTGTTATAGTAAAAATTATCTTGAGCCTGCCTTGGTTTGCACACAACCAAGGTAGAGGGGTTGGAAGGGAGTCCTGATAAAGTCAGCTTTTCCAGCATTTTACAAATGATACTTAATCTTTGACTTAAACTTTTATTATTCTCATATTTTTTATTTTTGTAGCATTTTTAGATACATGATACTACACTATGTTGGTCTAGCCAGGAACCTCTTGTAACATCCCATACATCAAAACTACACTCTGGCAAGATTTTCTATTACTTTTTTTTAATCAAATTGTTCACACAACTTATGAACTAAGTCATGTATCAGACAAACATTTTGTGGTCTGCCTAAAAACCGATTTTCTTGTCTTTTTCTTTATTCACATAAGCCCATAACCCTGTGAGTGATGAATAAGAATTAATCCATAATGGCTGTGTGGGATAAACCTGAAGCCCTGGTGTTCAGAAACTGTAGTCTAAGAACTGGCAACAGTAGAGGTAGAGTTTGTTGTAGACAGGAACCAAAAATCCTAAGAAAAAAGGGAGGTAAACTTGACTCCGATGCCTAATGTTTCATGCCAATTATGGACTGAGAATCCAAAAAGTCCAGAAGTACCATATAATGATCAGCATTAGTTTTCATTTGTATATCCCTATCCAAATAGATAAATTCCTTCACTTTTTTTCCCTTTTTTTTTTTTTACAAAGAGGCATTTGACATAGGAAAAGCGAACCCTCACATCTGACCCTTAAAGATGGAGATTACTGTAAATTAGATAAATTGTGCAAATGATGTAATGTAACCATCCCAAATGCACTTCCCCTTCTAGGTTAGGTCAGATTACCTCATTGATGGGTTTCGTATTCATTGGGGTTTTCATTTTTTTTCCATGTGCAAATGGCATTACCCCATAAGCTTGGGTAAAGCCAGCAGACTTGCTGATCTAAAATAATCAGATATCCATACAATTCACTAAGACTTACACATACTACTAGACTTTACACATAGTGTATACAAACAAAATTTCATTTAGACAGTTAATGAAAATTTCCATTTCATAAATTGCAGCAGGGATCAAATGTAAACAGTGTGGGAGAAAAAAAAAAAACATGATGCAAAAAATGCATTATGGTGTTTCGGTTTGGTGTTATCAATGTGATGCAGAGTTTGTGACATGATTAAGAGCGGGGAAGAAACTGTTGTAGAATCTGCAGATTCTGCAACAATTTCTTCCCCACTGCCATCAGACTGTTGAACTGTTGAAAAAAAACAACAAGCTCTTATTATGTTTGCGGTTGCCACCAGGTTTACAGGTATTGCCATCTTCCCATCACTACAATCCAGACTCCCTGATGGATAGAATCCCAATAGCCTGATGTTGTCACCTCCATGTTTAAAGATTTAGATGGGTGTGTTATGGGCGATGTGCACAATTAGCAAAGTTTTTTTTTTTTATTTATACTTGGGCTAAAATCTTTAATTTTGTTGTCATTTCACCAGAATGCCTTCATTTACATGTTTAATGCTTGTTCTTCATGGCTTGCAGAAAACTGCATATTGAACTTATTGCTTTGTTTTAACAAAAGCTTCTACTCCAAATGTTACATAAAAGCCATACTGTTAGAGTTCACAACTAATAGTTGATAATTAAGCAGATTGTAAGATCTAAGATGGGGATCTTTGTACCTCCAACAGGGTTGTACTTTAAAAGAACAGGGTTTCTTTAATGCTCGTGTTCAAAGTTGCCCAAGCTGGCGTATCATTTTAGGTAGACAACCATGTCACTGTCACTTTTCAGAATATTATTTTCTTTCTTTTTCAGATTAATTTAATATGGTTCCAGTGACAAAACTTATAGAAAGACTTGTTTCAATAGCACGGCTTTTAACTGTTGATGGTGTTCATGGCTTTTATGGTATTTGAGTTGATTTTATAAATCTAGTGTTGTTATTGAATGAATAATATCTATCTATCTATCTATCTATCTATCTATCTATCTATCTATCTATCTATCTATCTATCTATCTATCTATCTATCTATCTATCTATCTATCTATCTATCTATCTATCTATCTATCTATCTATCTATCTATCTATCTGTATATATATACATATAAAATCTATACAAATTCAACATGCAAATATTGTAATTTGATACATATGTAAAATGTATGTGTTTTTTGGAGTGTTTTTTTTTATTTTCAATGTAATGTAAATCCCTTTCTAACTGTTTTGAAAAGTTAACTCAAACTCAAAAGCATATAAGGCATTGACACATCATCTTTATGCTCACATTACATTTGTCCATTCAGATTCTTGCTACTCTGGAATATCTGAGAGAATTGATTCTAAGTCATTTTAGTTGGGGTTATCAGAGGGAAAGGAGACTAAACATAAATTATGTTCACTCTTATCAGATTTTCATTTTTTTTTAATCTAAAATAAAAGCATTTGCAGAAAGTTGTGTTCATCTTCAATGGTTCACGCTCTGAATATTCTTCCTAGTGGTCCCAACTTGGCTCAGGTTTTATGTTTTTTTTTTATTATATAAAGCATGTCAAGTAAAGGATATGACATCAGAGCAAATATATCATATTTGTTTAATGGCTCAAGGTTTACTGTTACTTTTTCTATGGGTTTAATGCAAAACAGGTGACAGAGGCAGTGGCACTGTGGTGTAATTTGAGTGGCTTACCAGTCTGGAATGGGCAGCCCTTACTACTACAGTACATTCTTCTCTATTCTTATAGCCCTCTCCCTGCCTCAAATGTCCCTATATTCACCTCTTTGCACCCAGACCTTGTCCATTAATGACATCCATTTTGGGAGGCAGTAGGAGAGATTGTTTTATGTGGTGGCGATAAAATATTTTTTTGCTTGTGGTTAGCTGTGGTGTTGCTCTGGGCAGTAGACCATTACTTGAAAATAAACTTAATTATTTTCTCCGCTGTTGCAACGCTGACCCTAGGTCTCTAGCTGCAAAGACATTGGCTAATACTTCAGTATACATCAGGGCCCTTTCATTCTCTACTGAGCTAATCCAAATTGTAAAATTGATTCACTTAAATGATAAGAGAACAGTTCCTAAATCTCAAAATGAAAACCATTAGTTTCTGTTCAAATAACTTAGTGTGACGTGTTTCTTTTCAGTGCATTAACTCCAATCTGATGCAAAATGCTTTAAAAATGGTTTGCTGGGAAAAGCTTCTGGTAAATACTAATTTAATATTCCCATTTAGACTTGAATGCATATGCAAATGAGCCTGTGGGGAAACATAAGGCTACTTGTGTGAGTCTGACATGCTTCAAACATGAACCATATGTGTTTGCTTCTTTGTCTTCAAATAAGGTAAGACATCTTTGTTAAAACACCCTCCCTCAGGAGAGAGTTCTCTTCAGTCTGCCTCCCATAGGGCTCCCAATGGAACTTGTCATGAGCTTTTTTTTCCTGGAAGATCCTCCATTTTCAAATGCCAGATAAGCAACCTCTGTGTGGCAGTGTGGCAATATTCTACTAATTCTAACAATCAGTTGAATATCTGTGACAGAGAACAGAATAAGTGGATTATGGAAGGAGGGAGGTCGACCGGAGGAGCCAGAAGGCAAATAAAGCCACAGTTGCATTAAGTAACTATTACCGCTGCACATGAATGATTTCTTATCAATTTTAAACATGATAATATAGGAGGTTAATTAGCAACGGGTCCTAATAACATCATCAATCATTTCTTTACAGTTTTTCTATAGAGACGATGATAGGAAGTTAAATTGGGTGTGTTTGTGTGTTACAGAGGCAGGGTCTGAGGCTTGATGACGGGTGCATGGTGGGAGAGGGGGCTGGCACTGCTGGAACGGGTGAGTAAAGTGAGCATTCTATTGAGGTCTTAGTTTGGCTAATCTCCCCCATGTGACAGCGCAGCCAGATTTGCTGCCATGGAATGCCACAGACTGTTGTGTTGAGGACAAAAAGAGACAGGGGCTTAAGCTACAGGGGGCCAACACTGCGTGGAGCTGGAGAGCAGCCCAGCTATGCCAAAAGGAGGCAAAAAAAAGTTCTCAGGGCTTTTTTTTCATCAATCCCTTCAACCCTAAATTGCAGTATCCATTTAACTCCACCCAAATCATGCACATACACATAAAAAAGTCACCTATAGGAGGATGAAACAAGGAGTTTTGAAAGGTATTTTACAGTTCTTCAGTGTTCTGTGTCTGGAATTGTTCCTGTCTTGCACCCCAGTCAGATTAGGATCACATCTGGTCCACAGGCATTGAATCTTCCACTGAAAACCACAACTCTGGCAGTGACCAACAGTAAGATCCTGAGGATCCCTTTAACTCCAGCAGTCACCATTAATACAAGTTATGATAAAGTTTTTTTGTACATTAAAAGTTAGTATGACTTGATTTTTAAAACAATAACTCTTTTGATTTAAGCTGTAGTAGCCCAAGTTTTCCAAATTTATACTTGAGTAAGGGATACCTTATCACCTTGGTTGATCTGTTTTTTGTTGTTAATTTTCTGCAACAAAGGAAAACAAAACACTCTTAGAACTTGCTTGTGCATTCTAAGCTAGAATAATAATAATTAAAAAAAAATTATTTTATTCACCAATAAAAATACATGTTTTATATTTCTAAAACGACCATACATTGTTTCACGTTTCCTTTATTCTCTGCATCAGTTTTTGCTTTAACTACACAATAAATGATTTCTTTATTGTAAATGTATCCTTATAGTCTTGCCTCTCATTCTTGCCTTTGCTTGCATCTACCTGCTTCAATTGGCTTTCAATTTGTTTTTCTATAGCTGCAATTCAGGCAATAAAGGATATTTCTATTCTCTTCTATTTCATTCTAGCCCATTGTATTGATTCTATTTGATTCTATTCTGTACTATTGAAATACTTTTTTAGATAAAAGTAACAATTGTTAATCAATTTAAGTGAGCAAATAATGGCAATAGTTTAGCTAAAATTGCCCGAATCAACAGTGAAGAAAAATACAGAAAAAGTTTTATGCTACAAGAGAAATCCAAGTGTATCAAATAATGTTACCAAAAAAACAGCATCATAAAATAAAACATGCTAATAGGAGCTATATCCTAATTCATAGCTGAAATGAAATTAATTACACTTCTCCCTATAACTTGTGGAACTTGAGCTGTCATCAAGTTAAAGTATAAGACAGTGAGGAGATGTAATAGTTGCTTTTCACCACGGCAACATCTCTCTGCTTCTCCCTCTTTCGTTTCCTCTATCGGGCCCCTGATAGCTTCCTTTTATTTGAGTCCATCTTTAGCGCCACTGCTCCTCCGTGTAAACACTCGCTGCAGCTCACACAGTTGCGTGGTCTTGAGGGAGTGCGTGCTGGAGCTGCTGGAGGGGGCAGTAAGAGGAGGAAAGAAGGAGGAGGTGGTAGGAGGTGTGGGTGAGGTGGTAGTGGGCACCAATCTGTAAAGTGCGCCGATACTGATTCACATTATTTCAACATTTACAAAAGCTAATATATACAGAAAATGTTTTCTTGATTTATTTCTTTGCCCTGCAAAGGACTGCCGACCTGTCCAAGGTTGTACCCCGCCTCCTGCCTGAAGACAGCTGGCACCCCTCGCAAACCCGCTTGGGATAAGCTTGACAGAAAATGGGTGGATGGATTTTTTTCTTGTCACTTATTGTGCCGCTACCGCTCAGGGGCGGTGCATTTCTGTACGAGGATCCGTGAGGGCATACTTGTGGGATCTCATGCCTATGCCACTCTACAAGGCAAATCCATCCTGTTTGGCGGCCCATGTCACCCATATCAGAAGCCGTCTCTGCTGACGAATTCTGGATGACTGCAGCGGGAATCCGGGGCAGCCCTCAGGTGCACCAACAATTGATCTTGTTAGCAGAAGTATTTTATCCATTTATGTTAATTGCAAGTCCGATGGTGTATGCTTATTCAATCAAGTATATAACTGTAGAAACAAAACAGAAAACAAATCTTATAATATATTTTGACTGACATCAGACAGTTGGTCATCACAATGAGCAAGGGAATGAATGAATGAATGAATGAATGAATGAATGAATGAATGAATGAATGAATGAATGAATGAATGAATGAATGAATGAATGAATTGCACACAATCCTGGAAAAAATTACAAATTTACCAGATCCTAACAATTTGTATAATTAATGACATAATTATTTTATGTATATGATTTAGGCATCATGCCTGAAAAGACATGGCCTGGGGGTTTTCTGCATGGAACTTTTATGTTCTCTCCCCATGCATGCATGGGTTCTCTCCGGATACTCTGGCTTCCTTTCATAGTCCAAAAACATGACTGTTGGGTCAACTGGCTTCTCTAAATTGTCCTTAGGTGTAAGTGAATGTGCATGGTTGTATGTCTTTGTGTGTCTCTGTGTTGCCCTGGGACAGACTGGTGAGTGGCAACCTGTCCTGGTTGTACCCCACCTCTCCCCCATAGAATGCTGGAGATAGGCACCAATACCACTGTAACCCTGATGGAATAAGCGGGAGAAAATGGATGGATGGAGCTTCAAACTTCCTACAGTCTTTAACATCAACAATCTTACCGATTCCTATTTTAATGCATAAGTCCATACTTCTCCAAAAGTCCATTGAGTCCATTACTGTTTATAAGACTTAGAATCTGCATTTTTGGATTTTTTTCTGCATGTAATCCAACTTTCTGAGTTCTTACCAACTTTTTAAAATTATTTTCTTTAAATTTTTGACTACTTGACTATAGTGCATTAGATGTTAAATACAAAATATATTTATTTGTATGTCTTAATTTGCCTCAACATAACAGCTTCTTAGAAGGGACTTCATAATTCTAAAGGTTTTTACATATTTTTACCAGTAAGTTTCCTAACCTTTTGCAAGAGTATAAGAATATTATAAAAATAAAGAATATAAAGGAACCGTGGTACAGACTCAAGCACTCAACCTCAATTCCTAAGCCCTGCCTAATCACAGCAGACAACACAAATCCCCCAGAGCCCCAAATCTGCAGCTTGGGCCAGACCTGAGAATTGTTGTCTTGTAGGTGTAATCACACGCACTTCTGTCTCAGTCATATTAACTCATTCCCTTTTCTATCTCACTCTCCATTGGTTTAATTAAATGCATAATCAGGATTTGCATAACAATGCCAATACCAATACCAGTGGTGCCCCATTTGACAACAGAAATCTAATGAAAATATAACATTAGCTATGAGAGCTCCTACAGGAATTCTAAGCTGTGCCAGTCTAAAAGAGAAAGCTTTGACATATAGTTGGTTTAATTCTTTTGTTTGATAAGCATCAACCCCTAAATCCAGCCGAACCAAATCCTCTTGAGATGGCTAAGTGCAGATCTAAGTGAAGAGAGAGCAGTTGAGAGAAGAAGAGAGGATAGGAGAGAAGAGGAAAGGAAAGGAGGGTCTGTAACTAAGGCATCAAAACCAGGATCAGGTCAGACTACCCCTCTCTTCCTTCGACTGCCTCTGCCCCAGTGCCCTCCCTCCCGTTACCCCCCTCACCCTCAGCTGTCCCAAGGCCACAATAGATTCAGCATCTTTTGTGGCATTAACGGTTTGTAGGAGCCAGAGAACAATGTATGAGAAGTGAGTAGCGCGGGGTTCCCACACACAGGACCAACATATTCTAACCCCCACCACCAATCACTGGTAAAAGACGGCAACCTGCACACAGCTGATCTCCACCTCCTGCTGAGGCCACTCCCCCATCAACATAAAACACGTTCTCTTCCACATGCATGTACAAACACACTCTCTTAACAAGCAAACACACACATAAATACCCGCTGCGGGTTTGACACAGATATTTGCTCATGTTTAATGCATGAATAATAATTTATGACACCGGATAAAGTTGTTGATATAGCAACACGTATTCAAATGCACATGGATTTTACACAAAGTGGATTGCCTGTTGAGGCCAAAGAGAGGCCTGTCGGGGAAATCCTTTTGTTTCAGGATGGGTGAAAGTTTGTCTGGGATGTTGATTAATTTGTACTGTCATATGTGGGAGGGGCCTGTCACCAGTGGGACAGTGGGTGGGAATGTCACTTTCAAAAATTTTAATTTCTTCCTTTCAAATTGACTGGCTCTGAAATGCATCATGAATTATAGGTCACTGATCAATAAATGATGAAGTTAATTTTTAACTTAATCAACACAAGTTAAAATGTGGAAAAATCAATAACCTACAACTTATTAAAACATAAAGGAAATGGAGACAACTGAAGATAAGATTAGCTACTCTAACTTATCAAAAAGAATAGTTTTAAGCCTAGCTGTAAAAGAAGGTGTCTGCCTGCCAGACTAAAACTGATAGTTGGTTTCAGAGGAGAGGCGCCTTATACCGTAACTAAAAGATCTTCCTCCCATTCTGCTATTAGAAATCCTAGGAACCACAAGTAAACCCTTAAACCTGCAGACTGAGAGTGAAGTGATCTGTTAGGAACATAAGGAACAATCAGATTTCTAATATAAGATGGAGCCTAAGTATTTATGGGTTTATAAGTCAGCCGAAGCCCTACGATTGACTGGCAACCTATCCAGGGTGTACCCCGCCTCTCGCCCCTCATGACCCCAGCAGGGATATGCGTGACAGAAAATGGATGGATGGATGTTAGACAGAGGATTTCAAATTCTATCATGGATTAAACAGGAAATAAATGAAGGGAAGCTAAGATTGTAGAAATGTGATTTCTCTTTCAAATTTTCATCAGAACTCTGGCTGCAGCATTTTGGATCAACTGAAGAATTTAAACTATAATCTTAAAGTAATAAATGCGTGGCCTAGTTTTTCAGCATCACCCCTGGACAAGATATTTCTAGCCTTACCATGTTCAGGAGATGAAAGAAGGAAATTCTAGAGGACAAGCCAAAAATAAGACCAGGCTTCTGTTTTGTCTACATTCAAAAGTAGAAATTTTAGACTCATCTAGAATTTCATGTCATTTTATGACATTCCTGAAGTCTTTGTAATGTTTTTTTTTTGTTTGTTTTTTTGTGATAAGCAAACTGCAGGGGCTCCTGATAGGTGCTTGTTTGCTTGTTCAGGTGGACCAACAGTAGTCTTTCAAAGACCTTCATGATGTGGGATGTCAAGGAAACAGGTCTGTAGTCGTTGAAGACTGTTGTTTCATTTTTCTTTAGTTCTGAAACAAGGCAGGAGGTCTTCCAACAAAACTGAGTAGCAACATGCGAATACCTTCATTCTCAGGTGGTCCACTAAACATAGATGATTGGAAGAATATCCTATAGCTTTATAATGATGTGGCACTCTTTGATGGTTCTGTACTGTATGTCACACCTTAATTATTAATGTTCAAATAAAATCATTCTGTTTTACTAAACCTGGCCTATTTTGCAAAGAAGAAAATCAGAGTGAAAAGCTTGTAGAGACATATCTAAAAGATTTACATCAGTAATCAGTGTTGGGTAACATGTTACAGTAACAACGTTAATTTCCCATTACCTAACACTGAAACTAATTCGTTTGTAAAAGACAGTAATGCGTTAGTCATTACTACACTAAATAGTTTTGTTATTCATTACTTTTCATGTAGAAATAACGTCTACAGTTTTCTAGTGTATGTGGCATACACAACAGCTAAGTTCAATTTCAGCGTGAACACAGAGTAAAGACGATAACGCAGAGCCAGATTCAATGACAGCATTCCTACAGAAAAACTGCTAACAACTGCTAATACAAAGGCTAAATGTTTCTGTGATTTACTCATTATGTGCAGGAACAAACATTTTATCAATGTTGGTTAGAAGTTGGAATTTAAAGAAGCTCAATACATCATCTTAATGCTGACTGACAGCTGCTGCCTTTAATTAAGACAAGTTCTTCACTTTCTCAGGACTATAATGATTTTACTTGCATGGTTTACATTTTTCAAACAAAAATCTTGGGCTCATACAGTCCTGCTAGGAGTTTTGTCTCGAGAACCGTAACCTCTGTGTAATTCTATTGCGAAATATATAATTTAGTTAAACTGCTTGAAAAACATTATTATGTATTAATTTTTAACAAACACCTTATATTGAAACATTTAACCACTAGTTGCATTTAAAATTCCAATAAGAGGAAATTTTCCCAAATTCTTCTAAACTAGATAATAAAAAGTAACAACATAGTTACTCTGGCTAGTAACTTTTTACTTTCACTGAGCAGTAAGTAAGCTTTAGCTTTGCATTCATGTGGCATTTTGTGGTGGTACTGTAAGTCACTTAAGATTTTAAAAACTACATCTAGTTTTGAAATGAAATATCTGACTTAAACCCGAGGATATGAGACTTTTGCAATGTCCTGTCCATTGTAATTTGATGGCTTGAGCCTGAGATATTTGCAAATCGTCATGATCTTGACGCTGATGTCTTGTCTGATTACTCGTTTCACACACCTGCTTATCTCTGCCTAGTTCTCATTACCTGTTTATCTGATCCACCAGCTTCAGTCTCTGTTTAACCAGCCTTCAGACCAGTCATCACGGCCAGATTATTTTAAGCCTTTTGTAAGAAGTTCACTATTGTACCTGAGTGTTTCTGATTGCCTGACTCTGGCCCATTCTGCCTCTGGACCTCTGAGCCTGCCTGTCTCCGTTCTGATCTGTTTGCCTGACTTGTCTTCAGATTTCTGCCATTGTCCTGGAATTCCCTTTGGCACCTCTTTGTACTCTGATCTCTTGGCTCTGACTACCGAGCACATCCTCAACACTGGATTTGGCTGGATTATCTTGCCTGCCTTCATCTGATTGGTTCTGATCTCCGGCCTGTCCTCCAATCTACTATACATCAGTGTCTGGGAATCTCTGTGCAGTACCCACCGTGTCTTATTGGCAGCCGACCGGCTGGAACCAACCTTATCCTCTTGGCTCAGACTGAACCATAACACCAGGTTAGTGACTCACACTTTCATTATCATCCACTTCCAGATAGATGTGGTCACTAACCTGTTGTCTCCTCCTGCCTTAGGTGCTGATGCTGTTCACTTCAGTTCCATTTCCAATAAACATTTTGAGGAATCCAACTGGTTGTCCACCTCGAATACTGGATCCTTTTGTTCTCAGCCTGACAGAAAATATTAATTGTTTACATGCCATCTCTATAAAAACACTGTTTTGTATTACCACTTTTTCATCACCCTTTTTTTTTAAATCTCCCCTCTGTTAATTTTACAACCATATCTAATTTTTCTGAAGATAATATAGGACCCCAATACTTTACTGCAGTTTTATCGGTCTGTATGAATTTTCAGTCACCAGTTCCAGGTGCCTTGTAAGTTGTCCTCTCTCCCTACCCCTTTTTTTTGCTCTCCCACTCAGTGTCCAGAGTATGTCACTGTCTCCTTGGGTTGCTGATCCACAGCAGACAAGCGCAGTCCATTTGTCAGCAATTGTCAGCGTTTAGCGAGGCAATGATGTGTGACAAGATGTGAAGGGAGGGCAGGAAGTGAAAAAGACAAAAAAAAAGGAATTCTGGGATGCAGGGGGCAGGTGGAAGGGGGGAAAAGGGCTCCCTCCAATGGAATGAAAAACACAACCCATCATGCAACCCCATTAATGCTTGTTTATTGTGCTCAAAAATAAGAGATGGTTAATGAATTTAAACATTGTTAGTAGGGTGCTGCTGAGCCACACATAGATGATGCATCAGATGCTATTTTCTATCACTTTGGTTATTGTTTAGCATTGATCCATATAAGAGCTCCTCATAATCTCAAGAGCTTTAAGGTATACTTCCTGGATAATGAACTGAACAGATCTTGATATCTTGGCTTAACATCTGTTTTTTAACAGAGGATTGTTATTTATGTCTCCTTTTTATTTTTTGAAACTTCCTTTTTAAACTCTAACCCTGTTAATAAATGTTCTATTCTTGCTTGTCCAATACTTTGGTGTAAATAATCTGTTGTAAAATACTATATAAATTAAGTTGACAGAAAAGTGACTGAAGAATGTCTTGTAAGGGATCTATTTTTATTCAAAGGAAAGTTGTTATCCAAGAAGATTGTGCGGACATTATTCTTCTTTAAACCCTAGTGGATGGTTTCGTCTTCTGAGGTCGAAACAATTTTTGAGTATAAATGAATGCTGTAGAAAACTTTGTGTAGATTGGGCAATGAGTTTGATTGTTATTGGGTATCTAATTTCTTAAAATTGTCTCAATCCTCAAACTGTTGTAGAAGGAGTATGAGGAACATCTATTTTTATTTGCTTTTTAGTTTATGTCATATTAATTGCAAAGCACAAATTTACTTCTGTTTGTTGTTTGGCCCACCAGGCTATTACTCAGAACTTTTTGATTGCTTTTCACTTAATGTTAAAAAGATAATAAAGCTGTTCTTGGGGAATTTTGGCAAACATAAAAAGGTTGAAAATTACACTGTAAATAGAACCTTTAATGCAACACCTGGCTTTACCCATACTCAGCTCATTATCATACTTTTTATGCGTTGACATACTAAATGACATTGTTTGTGCAAATTGTACTACTTTCTTAGACCCTGTTTTTCTGATAATTTTTTGTCTTGTGTCCAGTAGATAATTAATTATAACTATAAAACCATTTATTCCATCATGTATTTATTTACCGTTTCAAAGCAGTATAGAAGGAAACATTAACCTGTGATCAAATGTGACCTGGTGCATTTAAGTGCATAAACCCAAAAGTCTACTTTTTACTATGAACTGACTTTGAATGCTTTATACAAATGCTGCAATATGTTTTTTTTTTTACATATGCTGTAATAAAAAAAGTTAATTATCTCAATAAATGTTTATTCACATTGACAGTTGTCCTGTTTCTCGCTCTCCTGAATACTCAGCACTTGATACGCTTTATGTTTTTTTGTTATTTTTTTTAGCAAAGAGAAATGTGGTATTTAAGGGTCACTATGTAATTCATTTGGCTTTTTATGAGCAAAAAACAAAAACTGATTTCATAAATAAATATTCTGCCAAAGTCTGGAAACAATTTCATAAAAAAATCGAAGTGTTGCCATAGGTTAGGATTAATTATGTATATATATATAGGTGGTGGTTCACCCAGCAGAAGACACCATGTTTTATCAACTTCTTTAATTATTGGAAAACTTATTTTCCTTGCACATTTTACCTTTACATATGACCCTATGTTATTGGTGTAGAAAGAGTTTAAAACAAGAAAAGATGATTGTAGGTAATCAAGAAAAAAACAAGTAATAACCAGGAGAAAACAAAAGTCTACATATATGTATCTTTTACCAGGTCTTCAAAATAGACTGAAATTTTTTAAAGATGTTTCTGAAAATGGAACCTTGATATTTTCTCCAATTATGTACAACTAAACATGGATCAAAAGCTTATAAAATACATTTATCACAAATGGGCCTCTTCATCTTTTTCAAGGCAATATAGCTTCTCATAACTTGGCCTTGACTCCTGCAGCCTTCACCCATTATGACAGCATGATAGGTACAGTTTTTTTCTGGAAGTTCTTTTTTCCTTTGTTCTGCTTAAATTGTGTAGCCTGACTCAATGGATTGTTGGGAGAGGGTGTCCTGATTGGGCAACCACCTTTGCTTTACTCCCAGGCTGCAGTGCCAGAAAACAAATCTAGGGAAACACTTCAGGGATCACCTCATGTAAACTGGCTTTTTCCAGTCCCATATGGAAGACATCATCCCACAGAGAGAGGTGGAAAGTCTGTCAGAGTCGGGCTATTGGATAGCGTACCTCGTCAAAATATCAACACATTCCTCTTCACCTGAAAAGTGTGTTAAAGAAAATCCATTCAAATCTGTCAACATGATGTGCAGCCTCGCAAACAATTCTTAATCTTTTTTACTGAAACCTTTGACCTCCTGGGATTTGTCTCCCGATACTAAAACAATTTGTTCCAAAGTATCAATTTCAAAAGTGTTTATTCTTTTCTTGCACATATACAAGGTAAATAAGATGCAGGCCAGACCATGTTTTGACATAACACCTTTTTTTTCTAGTGGGAGATGGAGCAAAGCATACAATGTGTTTGCATTTATTGTGTTGATGTGAAAAAAAAGGTCTCAAATTTTTCTTAAACAGTTTAACTTTTAAGTCAAAATGTAATTAGCTAGGCTTCACCACTACAAAATGCGTTACTAATAATACATTTTTATTGGATAGTTCAGTAAGAAAGTTTTTTTCTGAATGTTACACTTGCAATATATTAAATCTATATTGTATAAAATTGCTTCTTTATTCAGCATACTGTACGTAGCTCTTCATCAGTTGTTTTAAATTTAAAGGGCTAAGTATCTGGTAGACCTCTGCTGAAATGAGTTAACTCGAACCTTAGAAATAGCTGTGTAAAATATGCAAAGAATTTTTGGTCAAAATTTCTGTTTTGAAAGTTAAAGTGGAATTAAAACCAAAAGTATAAAGATGTATTGATAATGTTTGGGACAAACATTCATTGATTTATTTGATGTATTTAAACACCGCTTTAATGGGCTATTAGTTACCTGGTGACATCGTAAAGCTGTGTTTTGTCTGCATAGTTATGGTAACTTTTGTTTTTTTTTATTATAATACAAGTTAGGGGGAGAATATAGTTATTGAATATTTTACAATGGTCCAATAATACCACAGCTTCTTTCACAGTCTGTATTTATGTGTTTATCAGTGAACACCTTGACAATGGCAGTGTCTGTGACGTACCAGTAAGCATGGAAGCCTGACTGGAAAGCATTGAAGCGACTGGCTATTTTAAAAAAGTTGTTCAACTGCTAAAATGTGGAAGTGAATATGGAGTGTGATAAGATTACGTCATTTACTTTCAGGCACGTGCAGAGGGGGGGGCTAAGGGGGCTTGAGCACCTGCCCCTTTTGCTCCATGATCCCAATTTGCCCTTTTGGCCCCTTTTTTTTTTTTTTTTTTTTTTTTTTTTTATTTGACACATGTACTGAAATTATTATTATTATCTTTTTTCTGGCAAGAAAAACAATACAATAAGCCCTCCAGTCACATTGTTACCTTTGACCTTTTGCCAGTGACGACGCACTTGCCTCTCGCACAGTCAGATAAGGCGGCTAACTGCGGAGCTAAAGGTAGCGAACATTCCACATTACACTGTGGCCGCTGCTCATTTGGCCCTAAGCAAGATCAACCATGATCGGACGGATGGCTATGTCTTCAGTCTGCACCGCCTCTCCAATGTCAACCTGAATAGACATGTAAGTGAAACCAAATGAGCCCCATGGATGATGCAGTATTGTTTGATCTAAAACACTGTTTACTCTGTGCTTTTAGTCTTTTACATTGAAAATTATGTTTTTTAATTCACAAAAAACTGTTCTGTAATGATTACAGAACAGTTTTTTTGTGAATTAAAAAACATAATTTTTGGTGAAAATACTGGAGTAGGTTTCCTACTTGTCAGACAACGGAAAACTTTGAACGTTGTATAATTTCTCTACTTTAGCAAAGAGTAGCGGTTTACACAGAGGAAAGTATAGGACGCGGCGCGCCTTTCTCTGAAGAACTACTGAGCGGGAGGAGAGAGCCAGGTGAGGAAAAGCTGTTCTTATCTATCGATTCAGTATTTTTATCATACAGACATTAGGCTGTTGTTCTTGTGCTATAAGCTAGCTGCTAGCTAATGACTTTGCTAGCAAAGCAAGATAACTAAAAAGCTTCCCTGTGTCGTTAATGATAGTAGGACATTCTTCAGTATTACTTATGCAATAGGGGCACATCGCCCATCAAAAACCTATCATCTCCATAATGGATATATGTCTGATTTTCTAATTTCCTTTGCTGCATGATGTACATTGCATTTATTCTAGCGTTAGGTAAATGTATCTTGAAAAAGAACTCATCCAGAACTACCATGATAGATATATGATAGATATAATGTATGAAGCTGGTGAAAACAAAACTGCGCAGCTTATGCAAGGAGGATTGGTTGTCAGAACTTCTTTTGTTGGCAATCGAGAAGGATGTGCCAATCATTCACAGTGAGGTTATTAACATTTTTAAAGACATGGCTAACAGAAAACTGCTGCTGTGAACAAAAGAGAACAAAAATAGCAAAAATGCTTAAAAGTTGGAAATTTGTTTTTAAACAGTTAAATCACCATGACGGAAAATAAGTTTTTGCATCATAATCTTGGATTTAGTTTGGGGGAAAAAGAAAGGCAAGAGACTGAAATAAATAAGACATTGTCCTTCACTCAACACAGAAAAGATGAGACAATGCACATTTTCCCATGAGACTGGGTTGGACAATGAGGAAAAAAAGAAAAGAGAAACTGACAAGAAAAAACGAAGAGGAAAGATTGAAGAAAATGTATATAGGTACTTACAAAATACACTAAGACACAAACAGAGTAGGCTTTTCTCATGGTGACATGCATTAATAAAATGTTTGTTTTGTTCTTTTTTTTCTGCAGTTCCACGTTAAAGTTTGATGCAGCAGCTCTGCTTTTCTGAATGGACCGTCTCCATCTCCACTGTCAGTACAGCAAACCAGGCAGACATTCTTTTTTATAGATTACAGTACACTAAAAGGTTGCATTGTGCCCTTGTATGCAACAGTTTAATTCTGTAAAGACAAAATATGTCTGCTGGTCCAGCTCTGATTTACATCTTTGGCTAAATTGCAGGTTTGAATATTGTAATACTTTCCTATAACAAAATAGACCTGCAGAAAGAAATTACTAATAAAATATTTTACTTATGCATAGTTCTATGTTCTTTCCCTTATTTCCCTTAGCTTTGATTGTATGTCTCACAATTTTGTAATTTATCATTGTTCATTAAACTCTGAAAGCTATGTGACTTTGTTAATATTCTGTCCTAAAATGCGATAAGATGTGCCCTTTTTTTTTTTTTGAGCACCTGCCCCTTTAGTGGTCTCTGCACGGCCCTGTTTACTTTATAGCTTACCCACAAACAAGGCCTGCATGTTGAGAAAGTAGAGAAGAGAAGTCCCCTTTCACTGGAAGTCACATCTAGTTCAGTGTGAACAGACATCAGGCATTCCAGATAGGTATTTGTGAATACAAAGTATATGTGAAAACAAAAAACCAGAAACATTGATCTGGAAATATATTTTATGATAGACTAAGTAATGGTAGACTAGCTCTATTGGAGGCTTTGTCTAAGAAAGAAACACAGTTAGGCAGATGAGCTCTAAGCCAGTTCTTAGGTCATAAGGATGGAATGGTGCACATACATTTAAGCTGCAGTAAAAGTTCAGTCAAAAGTTATATCTAGAAGTGAAACAGGACCTAACACTGAAAAACAGGACCAACTGTATCAAGTATAACATGAACATGTTTTGCTTTTCAAAACTGTGTTCAATAAAAAACCTTACTTTAGAATTATTTAAGAGTTTCAAACTTACCAAAAGTCTTCGAATGTGCTGGTGAAACATCTCTCAGAAGATAACTATTTGTTGGTTTATATAGTAACCGTTGTCAGACCTTAGCACCATAAACAACTTCAGCTGGAGTTTGAACAATATTGTCATAACCAATTCTGGGTTTACAGGCAGTAGCTGGATATTTTGAAAATGTTTGACATTTAAAGTTTGGCCTGTCCAGAAATCTGTCAAAATTACGTCACTCACAATGATCAATAGATCTTCAAAATCTAAAACATTCTCCTCTCCCTTGCTCCAAAGATGTTAATGAGCAGCACTGTAATTACTGTGCTGAGGAAATG